TAGGTGTCCCATAGTACAGTGATCGACTGTTGTCGGGCTATTGGTGATCGACTGTTGTCGGGCTGTTGATTGACCTGTGGGGAATTAAGTATCCTACAGTACACCTTCACTTCAGCTTTGTAAAATCTTTTTAAAAGAGAATACTCTTACAATACAAAATAAACTCATAAAAAATACGTGAGTTGCATCGTTTGTTAAAAAAAAAACACCGTATTTTGCATTATCTGTTATATAAAACTCGTGTCTAAAAAATAAAACATATCCATACTTTAAACTTTATTATTTAATATAACTCAATTAAAATAAATAGAGTTTGATGAGTTTTTCTCTAATAATCTCTCATTTTTATAGTGCTTAAAAGAATAAAGTTTAAAGATCAGTTTTCCATAAAAAGAGTTAACATGGTCAAAAGCATTTTTGGAAAAACACAATACAATCTTAGATATAAAATTGAAGTATAGGTTTGATGGGATTTCAAAATTTTCAAAACAGTACATTTAATTAAATTATATCATATTAAAGAAATATAATTACATGTTTGGACACAAATATAGTCATCGAAATAAAAACAGGGAATAACAAAAATAAGAATTTATAGATCAATCTATTATAATAATTGCTCACAGAAAAGAAAAAAATTCTTCATCTTCTTTGCCTACTCGCCCTTAACATAAGCTTTTCTTTAGCTTGAAATTTATGTTATTTATATACGCGCTACCTCATATAATCTCTCTCCCTTTTTAAGCAACAACAACAAAGGGGTAATGGCCTTAATCAACTTCTTCCATCTCTTATTATCGGAGGATAACATCAAAGGAGCAGATGAAGATGTTGGAAAAAACAAATTAGACAAAAAACATGTCACTTCTTAGCTTTGCACTTATCCTTTAATGTTGTAAACATCACATGTTCTTTAAGTCATCAAGATCAAACTTTTATATAAATACATTAAAAAAAAATAAAGAAAAAAAAAACTATTTTTTTCATAAGCTACAATTATATTCTGTCGTTAAAATTACTTTACATTTGAATAAGTTATAAAGCATGATAGATATGATTATTAGACAGCCTATGTTGTTCTAACTAAGGACAAGACTCGTGCATCTTTCATTTTCTCTTCTAAAACTCCTGCGGCACGATTTGGAAATTCTCATGCTACAAATTGGAATGGTGACATAACTGGGACGAAAATTAATGAGCTCTTGAGAATATTCTTTTGCTTATTCTCACAGTCAACATTGTTCCTGTTATATATTTTTTAATATGCTTTTGGTGTTTGATTGTGTGAATTAGACGCTTACAATTTATAAACTCGTATATTGGCTTTCCACCTACAAAGCCATAAACTCTATCATTAATACATTATTTATTCTTTATTATTGTCTAAAAACCACTACATTAATCTACCGACTTTTGCACTCTAAAAGTGAAAACATTCTTGAACAAATAAACAACCCAGTTAAATCTATTACATTTAAATTTATCCTAACAGTTCCAACCCTCTGATTCATCGTTGTTCAGATTCGTCCTTTGACGGAGATTGAAGTTGCATGCTCCAACGGCCTTTTTAACAGTTAAATACAGCCATCTCTCTCCTAAATTATTTTGGAACTTGGATTTGTTCAGTTTCTTCATCACCTCGCTTCCCGGATTCACCAAAACAAGCTGAATGCATAGGAATGAAACATTAGAAAAAAAATATAATTTCTTGGTTTAATACATTTGGTCCCTAGGGTTTGGTTCAAAGTGATTATATCTTTTGAAAAACTAAGACTCCATATTTCGTTAAAAAATATTCAATCCGATCCTTTTCACTCACACGGTTAAAAACATAACGGTCTAAATGTCACTGTGGCCTAACCTAATTTAAAATGACGTAAGTTATGTGCAAATCCCAGCAACATCATCGCCACCACTGTCGGACCGAGACCGATGTAAAACCGCACCGACGTATCCCGGTGGGTATTGGAGGGAGTCCGGCGAGACCCGGGGGAGCCACTAGCTGGGTATCCTCAACGACGATAGCAACGGGGAGGAAGAACGCGCGGCCTCCGACGGCTTGTGTGCGAAATAAAAAGCAACCCTAAGCTACATTTCATAACAACTCGAGAGAGTGCACAAGAGAGAAACCACCACTTTTTGTCCTCCACCTTGAGCGTAGTGAGTAATAGGGAGAAGACTGTGAGTACCAAGAAGTTGTACAGGGGCCCTTGTTGCAGTCACAGGATTTTCTAGGAACCAAGGGGCCTTTAAAGAATTCACTGAAAAACCCAAGTGAGGGGAGTTAACTTTTTGATGTATTGATTTAGCATGATGTGTTTCCTTTGAAACTTGTTAATTTTGAGAAATGGTGTGTATAGATAATATACCAGATTGGAAGGTTATGGGTTGCTAAGGAAAAAAATGGTTTGGGATGTTATTCCCAGAATATGAATGCACGGGTTGAAGGATTAGAGTGCATGTGGTGTTCTAGTAAGGGATAAGTGCATATCGTGAATCTTTTGAGGATAGCCATGGATTGGCTAGGTTAAGAATGTAAATAAGAGTACGTAGGAAGTGTTAACGTGCTCTATGAGTGAAATATGATAATAGAGTGCTTTGGTGATGGGTTGTGTTCTCAATAGAGATACCAACATGGGTTTATGGGTATAATAAATTATTATTTTGTAATTGCATGGACGGTTTGATGGGTATTAAATGTATGGAAGTAGTATAAATGTTGAGTAATGTAGTGTCATCACATAATGATACGAGTGCATGTTTTCTTTTTGCATGTGGGGGCCACGTTAAGATGAAGAGAAATATTATATTTTCTTCCTGTATAGTGTAGACGTTGGAATCCAGAGAGCTAGAAGGGGTTCTTGATATTGGCATTTAATGGTTTTCGTGATAATATTATGGTTAATACCAAGTGCATGAAATTGTTGTTGTGCATGTGCTGCTACGTCCCTTGTTGATAGGTAAAGTACGCAAATGATATTCTGGGATTACATGGGTGGATTATAAGAATGGTGAATGGTTACAAGCTAAAGTTTTCGTTGTGCAGATTTTAAATTTTGTGTCTATAAAATAGGTCTAGGAAAGCTAAAGGAGTTTTCTTTGAAGATATAAAGAAATATTTTTTAACGAAATATGGAGTATTAGTAAACTTTATTAAAAGGTAGAATCACTTTGAATCAAACCCCTAAAAGTAAGGACCATGTTAAACCTAATTTCTTTAATGATAAAAATAATAATAGATGATAACACGAAAGAGAGAATTACTTGAAGTTCTCTTCTCTGAGTAATCTTCTGGACCTCTTCAAGCATACTTGTTCCACTTGTATCAATTTTTCCAACACCTGCCAATAAAATTACACTGCAACTCAGACTGAAATTTCTAAAACAAAAAGTGTCAACACATTCTTTTGTCAGTCCAATAATTAAATTCACAACATTACAAATGTGACTCATTTAATAGAAAGCAGAGACCTTCAGATTTTGTAATTTCTAAAAAGTTTTAGCAATCAAAACATCTGTTAGAGATTATCTGTGACCAACGTTTTTTGTTTTACCAATAAGTAATCAAATGTGAGCTACCACATTTTTAGGTTCATCACTCACCACTCATATCCATTATAACATACTGCAAACTTGTCTTTCCAGTAGCTTTGATTCTGCTTTCTTCTTCATCAACCCATCTTGTGATCCTATGCAAAACAACAAAGTTTTGTGGTAAGTATTTACTATACTTCTTTTTGGAATTTGAGAAAAACACTCCAAATTTGCAGGTTGATTACCTTTCTCTTAAATAGCTTGCATTGGCAAAGTAAACCGGTGCATCAATGTCTAGGATGAGGATTCCAGGAACATGTTTTGCATTTGGATATTGCTCAACATTTCTGTAAATCCTAAAATTTGGAATGTTTCCCAAAACCAATGTCCTTGGCCTTGCAATGAAAAGCCCCGAAGTACAGAAATTGCAACCTGAAATTATATATACATCCACATGAAATGAAACCACATATTAAGTTCATAAATCTTCATCTTAAAATCTTATAATGAGCAATACAAAATTCACCACAGTAAAGGGAGTTCACTGAAACTTACAGATATGACTAAGCCAATTTCAACACCGACAAAGACCACACCAATGTATGCACTCATGCACACAACAAATCAAATTTATCAATCTTCCAGAGATGGATGACTGCTTCATAATCTGAGGCCAAGCATTGCAGATACAATAATGGCTGACAGCACCACCAGAGGAGTGTAATGGAACAAGGGTGTTAGGAATAGCAATGTCAACATCACTGCTATTGTCAACTATAATGCTGACATTACTATTCCTAACACCCTTGTTTCATTAGACTCCCCTGGTGGTGCTGTCAGCCATTATTGTATTTGCAATGCTTGGCCTCATAGATTATGAAGCAGCCATCCATCTCTGGAAGATTGATAAATTTGACTTTGTTATGTGCATGAGTGCATACATTGGCGTGATCTTTGCCAGTGTTGAAATTGGCTTAGTCATAACTGTAAGTTTCAGTTCACTGTGATGAATTTTGTATTGCTCGTTATAAGATTTTAATACGAAGATTTATGAACTTAATATGTTGTTTCATTTCATGTGGATGTATATAATTTCAGGTTGCAATTTCTGTATTTCGAGTACTGCTGTCTTGCATCCAGCATTATAGTTGACGGCTGAGCGTGAAAATGGCCCTGAAACAAATTCATTTTTTTAACACATAAGTTGATGTAGAAAAGAAATAATTCATTGATTGCTCTTAATTGACACTTAACAGTTAAAATATTTACCTGTTGTGATGTAGCAAGAGGTGAAAGAACCAACTATGTTCATATGTACCCATAGCTATCATGTCTTTGTTGGCATCAATATTGTAATTTTTATACATTGCAAAGCTTCTTCCCACTGCTATTCCTTCCTGAACAATATATATCATAAACTCAACATCAAGATCTTGTTGAAATGACATGGATGCCAGTTGTAGGATTTTGTGTTGGATTATGAGATCCATTTCCTTTCAATGGGAAAATAGGTAAAGTACGAATTGAGATATATATATATATATATATATATATATATATATATATATATATATATATATATATATATATATATATATATATATATATATATATATATCTAGCTAGATGTGTTTTTCATATTGACTTGTAGCAAGAAAAAATAAAAATGACTTTTATATATTAAAATTAACTAATATACAAAGAAAAATAAAAAATTTGGAAAAGTTATGAGAAATTTTTATGTGTTAGTTTATTCGTAAGTTAGAAAAAAATTAAACTAAAGCTTTTTTTTATAAATGAATTTATACCTAGACTAAATTTAACTTAATTAATTTTTTTATTTTAAAATCAAAGTGCCGTTTTATATAAAAAACGTAAATAAATAAAAAAATATTTTAAAATAAAAGTGCCGTTTATAAGAAGTTGCACTTGCACCACTTTTCCAGCTTGAAATGCATTTGAAATACATGGAAGCAACTGAAATAAGTAAACAATTATAATCATACCAAACTAATACTAGATATGTAAACCAACTCACATTCAAGATATTCATCTGCCATTTGTCATTCTCCCACAATTTTCTGCAATTCTGTTTACTCTTTGATTCACATAATCAGAAAATGTGAACTTCACTTTGTTGCATATTCTAAACATTTATTTAATCATGGTCAACCTTTATTGTTTCTGACACCGACTTTATAAATAAATTAGAATCTACAATTGAGTTTTCAATTATCTGACTTTTTTAATGTTTCCTCTCTTATATATGTTTTTATTTTACACATTATTTTTTCTGTTTTTTTAGCCATAAAATATTTTTAAATCATTTTATTTCTATTTATTTTTTTATTGAATTCTTTATATATTTTTCTTTTTTCTTAACTATGCCTCGCTTCCATTAGTTATTTTATGATATTGTTTTATAAAATTAGATACTATAGCTAATTGAAAAGTTTAAGAGTTCGTTTATTAAATAATGACCAAAAAGTTGATGAATTGCTACCATTATTTGTGTGGGATTAATTGTTATCTTGAAAAGGCTCCAGACACTAATTACACAAAAAATATGATTTATTTTAAGTTTTCAGTGGGAAAAGATTTAAAATTGGAAATTAAATATTTTTTTTATTAAATTAAGAGTCTGGAGGTAGAACCAGAGAGAATAAAGGAAATAAGCAATAAAAAATCGACGGTGAAAAAAAAAGCAACTAACCAACCTTTATTTTAAGAAAGAAAAATGAGTGAAAAATATTTGGTGAAATGTTATAAATTAAGCCGGATAATTAATCTTAAAAGAATTTATAAATATTTTATTTAATTGAAATGTTAATTATTTGTTTATTATGAATCTTAATTAAGCCGGATAAAATATTTATTTAAAAGTTAAATATGCTTTTGTTTTTTAATTTAATCATTGGAATTAGTATTTTTTTTTTAATTTTGATCCAATTTAGTTTTCAAGTTTATACACATGAATGTGTTCTTTTAATAAAATTTTATTAAATTTATATAACTTTTTAAATACATCTCATAATAATAATGTTTTATATATATTTTTTAATATTAATGAAAAAATACATTTAAAATCTCAAATAAATTTAATAAAAAATAATTAAAAAAATTAAATTCACCAGTTGAAAAAAATAAAAACTAAATTAATCCAAAATTTGAAAAGAAAATTAATTCTAACTTTTAAGGAAAAAAACATATTTAATAATGATATAAGTTCAAAATCTGTTTTGTTTATTAAAATATTTATTTACGAGTATTAATGATTGTACATTTTATTTAATTGAAATGTTATTTATGTATTATGAATTTTAGTTACGCGGGATAAAACATTTATTTCATAATGAGACGTTAAAAAGTCAACCGACTTCTCTATAGTTAATGCTTCCTACTGTTACACATTTCCAACGCGGAAAACTGAACAACAAATCTCAGAAAATTCTTAGTGGTCACTGAACGGAATATTCGACATGTTACCCAATTAATTAGCATACTTAAATTTCAATTTTCTTAATTAAAAAATAAAGCTTCACGCCCTTGACTTAAGTCTTTTTCAAACTTTCCTCCTAAATTACAATTAAAGCTAATTAATTTTCTCATTTAAGCAGCTCTACGGTTCTTGACTCAAGACCTTTCGTTTCACTAAACGGTACGGGTATCTTTGAGTTCAAGTTTTTTTTTTTTTTTCTTTACCTTTTCTTTTTTCTTGGCAATCTTCTTCTAGATTCTGGCTCAAAGTTTGAACCAAGAAAGTGGTCAAAGAGAAAATTGGAAATTTCTTAGTTTTAATTGCTAGGCTTAATGCATGATTGAATTCCAATTGAGTGGACTTTACTGTTGTGTACGAATTATCAACCCATTAGAAGCATTTTGTGATCAGTGCTAGGGAGGGAAGAAATTGTCAACCCCATTTTTTACTTCTCCAATATATTAACGTTACGCTTCATTTTATCTTCTATCTAGAAATTTTCATTTGCTAACTTTTCTGATCACCATTTGCATGTGCTCAGATTTTTGTAAAAGTCTGATGAAGCAATAGAGAAAAACATGGGATTCTATCTTAATCTCAAATTCAAGGTAAGCCAATCCTTTTCCTGTTAAATTATGTTTCTATAGAATCCATGAGAAGCATATTAATGCGAATTATCTTAGGGTACTGTCCCTTTTTTGTGTTTTTTCTTTTTCCTTGATTTTGATAAATGCTGAATCATTGCAAGAATTGGTCATTTACAGCAAGAGCTAATTTATCTATTGATTTGAGCAGGCGTTTCGGTTGAAACGGTTTCTGCTTGGACATGGACGCAGAAAAAGAAAGCACAAGGTGGCAAAGAAGCCCTCGTGGATGATGCCAATGACATATGGTTATCATGTGGTGGAACATAATATGAGCAGAGATGATTCTGATAACTCGGACTTTGATTCAGTTGTGGCACAGAGAGAGGAAATGAATCAAACAGAGTTGTGGTATTTTGGAATATTTGATGCACTGATTGGAGACAGGGTTAGCAAGTACATGCAGTCTCATTTCTTTGACAAGAAGCTTCAAGAGGTTATCTATCACTTGATTTCTTATACATTTTACTTTGCTGCACTAAGCTTGTGCATTTTCAGTGAAAGTACTTTTAATTAGTTAACAAAATAATGCCTTTAAAAGGCTTCTGCTATAGCACTTGATCTAAATATTGGTTACTTTGTCTTGGAAAATTCTCCCATTATCCGTTTCTGTACAATTTTGAAAAGGAAAAGTAACATGGGAAAGAAGAAAAGCATGCTATACATAGCAATATAAGTAGGTTCAATAATGGATTATGAAAAGTTTTCCTTTAATTCTTCACATAATCATGACATATGTAAAAGATAGGTAAAGATTGAGCGGCTTTATTCATAAATTCCTACTTTTTCTCCTACTTGTGGTTTCTTCTGTACTTAATGTTTTGTATTTACATGTCAGACTCGTTTAAGCAGTAAAAGTAAGGAAACTCTGAAGAGAGCTTACCATGGCGTAAGAGCAAAGATTAGAGAGGAACACAAATTAGAGGAGACATGCAGAATGGGTTCAGCATCTGTTATACTGATCAATGGAGAAAAACTTGTAGTGGCCAACATGGGGGATTACAGAACTGTTGTGTGCAGAGATGGAATAGCTCATCAGACAACTGGCACATACCGACGAATAGAAAAAATGCACTGGTCTCGCCGACTCTTTGCAGGTATATTATATAATACAAAAGATGTATATGTCATTATCAGAATGTCTTCCCACTTTGGAAAAGGTAAAAACCAATGCTAAAAGGAGGCAACTACATACTCATTTGCTGTTTCAATGATTTTAAAAGTTCATATAACTTCTGTCACACATGCTACCTTGAGAACCCAAAATTCCTATTCACAGTTTGTTTTTGTTTATCCACATCTTTTTGATTCACACATCTCATAATGTATACTTTATATGTGTTTTCACAAAGGATTCATGCTAGGATGTCAATCAGGAAATGCAAAACATTATAGAGGCTCCGATTTTGCGGTTAGAAGTGAAGTGCTTGATTCTGGTACTGAATTTTTGATATTAGCAAGCAATGGCATATGGGAGGTAAGCTTTTATA